GACCTCGGCTCTGTGGGGTCCCTGGACTTGGGCATCTTGACCCGGAAACAGGCCCTAGCATCCCGCAGGTGGTTAGGTCGGAATGGTGCTCCAACCGGAAGCGGAAGACTGCCGGGAAGGGGGCACGTGCTGGAAACAGGCCGGGGCTGCCTGGGCGGTCCCCTAACCTACCATGTTGTGTGTTCATGGCCTGCTTGCTTTCTCCGTGGAAGTTTTATCTCAGGTTGTGGTGGGGGTTTATTTTTGAGATGGTCTCTGTGTAGCCCAGGCTGACCTCGAACTCATGATTCTCTTGCTTCAATAGTGCTGTCCTCAGACCCGCATCACCACACCCAACCATCTTTCTTTGAAGTGGAGTGCTGCCCTCTGAACTATAGAAAGTTCAGCATCATAGCTGGCCGTCATCTATGGGTTACCAGCAATGCCCTTGGGTATGACGACCAAAAATGTTTCCACATGTTTGCAAACGTTTCTCTTAGGAGACGAGTGATTCCTGGCTTTTCCCATTAGAATACTGATTTGGAATACCAGCCAGGAACGTCTCCAGGTCAGTTTAATGATAACACTTCCACGCCCCCTTTCGAGCCTGAAAATCTCTTCAACAGAACTTCACAAATCCACTTATATATTATAAAAACAATATAAAACAGCCATATGGGGTAGCCCATACTTGTAATCTCAGGAATCTGAGGCAGCAGGGTCATGAGTTACAGGCTAGCCTAAGCTACATAGTGAGTTCCAGGACAGTCTGGGCTGTATAATGAGACCCAGTCTTCTGTATTTCTTCCCCTGCCCACCCCCCGCAAAAAAAGGTTAGTAACTTATGTTTTCCACCACTACCTTAGTAAATAAACACCCAGACATACAAAAATAAAGTTTATGCTTACTATCAGCAAATGTTTGATTTGTTTATTTTATATGCCTATATGTGAGGGATAACAAAAAGTTTCTTATGAGAAAGGATCATGAGTTTAAGGAGACTTTTATATTTTGCTGTATGACTACTTGATAAATTTGTACTTCCTAAGGTAGTGGTGGAAGTGACGTGTAGTTTGCAGCCATGCTTCATTGCGGGTGAGCACTGCCAAAAGCAACAGCCTCCTGTGTGCTGGGAGTTTTCAATGAACTGTTGGTTGTGCATGTTTAAGTAACTTTTTACGGATGCTAACACCCCTCATACACATTTAGTTTTGAAACCTCATATATGAGGGCATAGCTTTCAGTTTAAGAAGTTAAAGAACATCTAGGCTATGTACTCATAAGTTTTTCAAGGTTTTGGGCACTAGGTAACACAGTGTTCCCTCCGTGGGCATCAGGCATTCATGTGGTGCACACACATACATGGAGGCAAATACACAATAAAAATAAAAGGGATTGGATTTATTAAGTATAATTATGAAGTAGCCTGCTGTTTGTAGAGATGAAAACTTCCATATCAAAGATGAGAATTACTGAGATGGTTCAGTGGTAAAGTTTCTTGTGGACAATCCTGTTGCCCTGAGTTTGATACCTAGAACCCACGTGGCCAAGGTTTTTTGTTTTGTTTTGTTTTGTTTTGTTTTGTTTTTTCTTCAAGACTTGCTGAAAAACTAGAGACCCCTCAGATACAAGAACCGCAACAAGGCAGAAATAGAAAGAGACCACTGGGAAAGAAAGACAAAAGAATACAAGTGAGAGCTTTCTCTTTTTGTTGTTGTTTTGTTTGTTTGTTTGTTTGTTTTTGTTTTTCGAGACAGGATTTCTCTGTGTAGCTTTGGAGTCTATCCTGGCAGTCACTCTGGAGACCAGGATGGCGTCGAACTCACAGAGATCCATCCGCCTGCCTCTGCCTCCCGAGTGCTGGGATTAAAGGCGTGCGTCACCAATACCCATCGAGAGCTTTCATTAGCGTTTATTGTGTGTGCAGGTTACACAGGTGTGGCACAAGGTTCATATGGAGATCAAAGTCTTACTATTTTTTTTTTTAAGACAGTGTTTCTCTATAACTTGGCTAGTTGGAGCTAGCTATGTAGACCAGGCCAAAGTCAGAGATCCACCTGCCTCTGCCTCCCAGGTGCTGGGATTAATAAAGGTGTGCACCCCCAAGCCTGACTATCCTACTTTATTTCAGTGTTTCTCTCATTTTTGCTGCATCCTTCTCCTCTCTCTCTCTCTCTCTCTCTCTCTCTCTCTCTCTCTCTCTCTCTCTCTGTGTGTGCTCTCACATATGGGGCTATCATATGCAAGCCACCTCATCTGTATGTTTGTTTTAGATTTTATTTGTTTGTATTTTATGTGTATGAGTATTTGCCTTAATGTATGTCCATGCACCACATGTGTGCCTGATGCCAGTAAAGACCGGAAGCAGGCATCAGGTCCCCTGGGACTGGAGTTATTGACTTGTAAGCTGCCATGTAGTTGCTCAACATAGAACCAGGTCCTCTGGAAGAGCGGCCAGTGTTTGGCTGCTGAACCATCTCTAGCACCATGTCTGTGTGTTTTTACAGGGAATCCAAAGATTGACCTCGGGTTATCAGGGATGCATAGTCATTTCACCTGCTAAGCCATCCCACCAGTCCTAGAAAGTTTTAAATATGTATGCTTTCTGTATAAAATTCACCTCTTGACAGGCTGTGGTGGCACACACCATTAATCCCAGCACTTGGGAGGCAGAGGCCAGTGGATCTCTGAGGCCAGCCTCATCTGTAGATCGAGTTCCGGGACTGCCAGGAATACACAGAGAAACCCTGTTTCAGTGGGGGGAAAAATTCACTTCTGTTTGGGTTATTGTCTTGAGTTTAATTTTTCTCATTATTATTTGGTGGGCAGAAGAAACAAGGCCGTGCAACATATATTCTTGCTCTGCAGGTTGTAGAGGATTTGTGAAATGAGTGATTCAGAAGATGATGATATACCCCAGCTTTCTTCCCACGCCTTAGCAGCTCTCCAGGAATTTTATGCTGAGCAGAAGCAGTCCACCATCCCAGGAAGGGATGATAAATACAATGTTGGGGTAATAGAGGAGAACTGGGTAAGTCCATGCGACCATGTTGGAGAAATAGCGGTGTGGCACTTACCATTGCCTAGTTACTGTTTTATCTGTCCTTCCCTCTACTACCTATCATTCAGAAACTGAGGACGCTATAGGGAGCAAGAGCAGGAAGCAGACATCGGACAGATGTCCTGGGACAGTACGTGCACATTTTCCTGGCTCTGACTGGTAGGCTGGCTGGTGACTGAAGGACGGGTTTTACAGGTAGTGGGATAATGTTGTCACGTCTATCCCTAGCTTGTGCTTTCTGCTTGAGTAGAGTCACACCCTATTGGTTTTCCTAGAACCCAACAGTCCTGATTGGAAAAAATTATATTGTTTCAGTAAAAAGGGTAGCTCAAGCTAACATAATGAAAAAAATCAATGAGAGAATTTTTAACAATAGGTTAGTTTCTAGTTTTATACATTTTGTGTTTTGTAGCCATACAAAAAGTAGGTGTACCAGGGCAATGGTACGTCCTGTAATCCTAGCCCCCCAGGAAGCAGAGGCAGGAGGATCAAGCAGCCTCAGGTCAGCCTAGGCTATAAAGTAAGTTTAGGAACAGAGATATATAGCAAGACCTTGTCTCAAAAAAGTCAAATAAAAATAAAGTAGAGGGGCTGGAGAGCTCAGCTGGAGAGATGGTTCAGAGGTTTAGAGCACTGACTGCTCTTCCAGAGGTCCTGAATTCAATTCCCAGTAACCACATGGTGGCTCACAACCATCAGTTATGAGATCTGGTGTCCTCTTCTGGCCTGCAGACATAACATGCAGAACACTGTGTACAAAATAAAGAAATAAATATTAAAAAAGAAGTAGGTATTAAAACATTAAAACTGTTGAGGGGAAACCCCTAAGTTTTTTGTTTTTTGTTTTTGTTTTGTTTTCAAGACAAGGTGTCTGTGTACCTTTTAGAGGCTGTCCTGGAACTCCCTCTGTAGACCAGGTTGGCCTCAAACTCACAGAAATCTGCCTGTCTCTGCCTCCCAAGTGCTGGGATTAAAGCCATGTGCCATGGCCACCTGGCTCCTTATGTGTTTTTATTTGTTGTTTTGTTCAAAGCTGGCTTTGAACTCCTGCTCTTCTGCCTCTATCTTCAAGTGCTGGGATTCCAGCTGTGTGCCACCAACCCGACTTCTCTATGTATTTTCCCCTTTAGCTTGATCTTCTGTGGATGAGTAGCATTAATTTAAAGCAGTAATTCTTTAGATGGTCTATGTTTTTCTCCTGCTTACTGTTTAGAATATTACATTTCTTTTCTAACTCTAAAAGTAATAGCTGTTACACAAGATATATAAAAACATGAACAAAAATTGATTATTATTGCTTATTAAAATTATTACTGGTGGGGGTGGGGCTGGGGCTGGGGCGGATGTCTCTCTGAGTTCCAGACCTAGCCAGGGCTATATAGGGACTCTTGTTTCAAAAGAAAGAAGGGAGGGAGGGAGGGAGGCAGGGAAGGAAGGAAGGAGGAAAATAAAGCTAGAAATCTAAAATTCCATCGGTATTATGATAAAAATTGTTTCCAGCTAAGCTGTCAGTCAAGTGTGAAGACAAAGTAACACAGTTTAGACTTGCAGCACTCCCTCCCAACAGAAGGGGGCTGTTCCAGCAAGTAAACCAAGAAAGGAAGGTGCACTCTGGGGAGATGGCCTTGTGACACACAGCAGGAGAGAGTTCCTAGGTGATGGTGACATCAAGTCAGAGAGGTGGCCCTTCTGAAAACTAGGACGACACTGGTCTTCCAGGGCGATCTCTGGGGGAGGGAGAGTAGAATGGTAGAATACCCCCCAGGAAGAGGGTTGTATTCAAAGGCCAATGGACGGTTTGGGAGAATTGAGGATAAATACAAAGGACTTGGGATATAATTCATTTGTTGGTGTGCTCACCTACCATTCATGAAACTGGATTCATCCTTAGTCCTTCCTAAGATGGGCATGATGGCTCACACTTATAATCTAGCACTCGGGAGGGAGAGGCAGGAAAATCAAGAGTTTCAAGTTCTTTTTGGCTACATAGGGAGTTCAAAGCCAGCATTGGATATGTGAGACCCTGTCTCTACATAAATAAATAATGAATGCACAGGGCAATCGTGCATTATTCCCTAGGAAAAACAAGTGATTACACTGGAAAATAATGCACTCTTAGTATAGTATGTGGTTCAACAGTGTTGGTTCCAGTTATCCAAAATGTGGATTACAACTACGTGAAGATGATGGAGGGAGAAGGTGTGTATGAGAGAGCAAAATGTGTGCCAAAGAAATAGATCGATCTGGAGATAGAATTTAAACATAGTATTTAGAGGTAGGGGGTGAAAGGATGAAAAATCACCAAGAATAGAAGATGATAACGTCTGAGGAATCCACGGGTGAGGAGATGTGGGATGATAGGAGGCTTGATTTTCATTGTAAATCTAGTAATTTGTGGGGTTTTCTTTTGCTTATAAGGCCATGTTCCTATAATACAGTAGAATAGGCTCTAATTCTGTAGTTTTGGAGGTGGTGTTAAGAGGATCAATAGTTTTTGAATGGAGGTGGGGAAGGAAGGGAAAGAGAAAAGGATTTTGTTATTTTGTGGAATGACATGAGAACCAAAACCATAGGCTACTAATAGTGTTGCTGAGGAAGAAGGGTCATTTGGAGCCTCCCTGCAGACAGCTCTTGTGACTTGAGATGCTTGAGAGCAGATACGGTCCGTGCATCTGTGATGCAGGGAAATGAGGCTCCTTGCTCACAGGGCCTTTCCTCCAACCATCCATGTAGAACCCATGTAGACACAGACATGAATTCATGCATACATGTAAATGTATATGTGATTCTGTCTTTGGAAACATTTTGAAATTTGTGTTTACAAGTAAACACTCAGCCAGTGCTGTGCAGACTAAATGTGAAATACGTAAGAATCCTGGTTTTCATTAGTCAGAAATGTCACTGACTTAAAGAACGGTGCGTACTTTCATCCCATTTGCTATTTGTTGTTGTAATTTTGAAGGCTGCTTTGCAGACCTATGACGAGTAGCCCTTCCAGATAAACCTTTCGAAAGGAGCGAGAAAACTACATCTTACCCGGAGCTGGGGCTATGGCTTAGTTGGTAAAGTGCTCACTTTACCTTCGTGAGGCCCTGGATTTGATCCCAGCAATCAGTACTTAACAACAATATTAACAGCAAATACTAGTGCCGAAAACACAGTGCTTGCCTAGCACATACAAGGCACTGAATTCAATTTCAGGAGTCCAAAGGAAGAAGAGAAATATTTAGTTAGGCATGGTAGCTTATACCTGTGAGGTCAGCTTTCAGAGGAGCTGAGTCAGGAGAACAGCTGTGAACTTGACATCAGTCTGGGCTACATAATAAGTTCCAGCCCAGGCTGAGCAAGTGTAAGCCCCTATCTCCAAATAATGACTGAGTACTAATCATACAAAACCACAATAGGTGCTAGAGAGTTGGCTTAGCAATAAAGAGTGTTTGCATTTCCCAGAGGACCAAGTTCAGTTCCCAGCATCCACAGGCAGCTCACAGCTGCTTGTAGCTCCAGCTCCAAGGATCAAACACCCTCTTCTGGCCTCTGAGGGTGTGTGTGTGTGTGTGTGTGTGTGTGTGTGTGTGTGTGCAGCTCACAGTGTGTGTGTGTGTGTGTGTGTGTGTGTGTGTGTGTGTGTGTGTGTGTGTGTGTGCGCGCACTCAATTGCAAACACATAAAAATCCAAAAAATCATATAAGTAGATAAGCTATGAGGGATAGAGCAATAGTAAATAAGGCAGAGTATTCTAAGGCACAGGGCTGGCTGCTGTGATAGGCATTATGGTAACAACATGCCAGGGCCTCTGTGCAGACACTGGGCTAGCAGAAGAAGCATCCGGAGGCCAGGGAGATAGCCCAGTGGGTAAAGATGTTTGCCAGAAAAATTGTTCAGGGTGAAAGCAGGTATCGGGTTCCATGTTGTCCTCGGCTCAACAAACTTAAGTCCTCATCATCTATTCACAGAACTGAAGCCTTTACATGGATTAAAGTGTTAAACATATAAATATTAAGAAGATGCAGTATTTATGATCTAGGGTAAGGAAACAGATGATTGATAAAACTGATGACATAAGATTAGCTTATAAAGTTAGGAGACAAGACAAGGAGTGTGTGTATGTGACACCTGTGAATTAATATCCCCATATACTCAAGAGCAAGAACACCCAGCTCTGGAAACTCTAGAACCGTTCACTTATTTCTGTGTCTTAGTGTTTGCTTGCAAGTGTGTCTGTGCACCATGTGCATGCCTGGTGCCCAAGGAGGTCAGAAGAGGGGACTGGATCCCCTGGAACTGGCTGTGTGAGCCGCCGTGGGGGTGCTGGAAACCAAACCCAGGGCCTCTGTAGGAGCAACAGGTGTTCTTAAGCACTGAGCTCTGTCTGCAGCCCATCAGAACATTTTCAAGAGGAAACCTACCTCTCCCCTTTAGCTATCATGGCCTCACTAGCAGTCCTCCTACTGCCTGACATCTCTGAGTATTCCATGGGATGGGATCACCTAACAAGTGGGGTTTTTAGTTTAATTTTTTTTTCCTACTCAGTGTCTCCAAGGCTCATCCACACTAGGTAGCATTTGTCAGTACCTAGGTCCCTCTGGATGAACCATAGTCCACTGTATGGGTATATTCTGCATTTTTGTGGGTGCCTGCTTTTGACCTGGCAGGCACTTGGCTTGTTTGTATTCTTGACATATTGTCATTACTTTAAAAAATAATCTTCTAGGACCTAGGGCCCCACACATGCCAGGAGAGCACTGACCTACATCCCCAGACCTTGGGCAGATTTTCCAGCAGAGACTGTGTGTGCATTGCAGCTTGGACTTCCTAGGAAGAGAGGTGGAGAAGTGGGCTGACCACAGAGGCAAACCAAACTGCCTTTTCACACTAGCATCATTCTTCATTTATAAATGTGAACATATAAGTAGGAACCACCAGACATTAAAAAAAAGTCGCCCATCAGTATGAAACAAAACATCAAGACTAAAAGCAAACATAACTGTGAGGAACAGACAAGTAACATGGGACATGAGGAGGTGAAGACAAAGGAAGCCATGGACACCACTGACTGGCCACAGGGGTCTTCAGCTCACTCTGTTCTCTGCTTCTGTTTAGTGGTGGTTGACTCTAGAAGCCTGATCAGGTTCCTGTGGTAAGTTCTGCCATCAAGAGAGTGAGCATTGGCTGGTTGTTAGCGCTAGCACTGTGACATTAGCAGCCCGATAGCAATTCTGTGTGTTGATTCTGATGAGAGACACTGGGGGATTGTACTGATTTTAAATAACTTGCAAGAAAAGTGATGACAAGTTAAATATATGTGTACTGGTTTAGGAGGGATAGGTTGAAAGACGTGTGTATGAACTCTGAGACGGTCACCCTGTTCCCGTTACAGCAGCTGAGCCAGTTTTGGTACAGTCAGGACACCGCTTTGCGACTTGCACAGGAAGCGATCGCTGCTGCTGGAGAAGGTGGCAGGTGAGCTTCAGATTTTGTTTCCTTTTTTTTTTCTCATTTAAATTAGTTTGAGGGACACATGGAAACACAACCATGACACTTAGGAGGCACAGATGAATGTATAAATGAGTATTTTGAATGTCCTTCCTAAATGAGATGCTTTCTTAAAAGTCTGAATTACAATATATAAATATTGTCACATGGCTTGCATGGCTCACTAAGAACTCTAGTACTAAGTCTAGTGAACACTGGGAAATCTATTCAGTGTAGCCCCCCTCCCCCAGCCCCCTTCTCTCTGAGACAGGGCCCAGGCTAACTTCAAACTTTTTATGTAAGTTGAGGCCGGTGTTGAACTCCTGATCCTTTTGCCTCCTTCTCCCAAGTGCTGAGATTTCACTGTGAGCTACCACACCCACCTTCACGATAACATTTCTCATTTCTACTTTGTCTCTTTTCCTTTTGCGGAGCTAGGGATCGAATGCAGGTTGTTGTACTCCCTGGGCAAGCACTTTATAGCAAGCTAGCTCCACCCTTAGCTTTTATAGCAAGCTACCTACACCCTTAGCTTCTTAGGGGGAAGTATTTTCTGAGGGCCACCCTCTAGCTTTGCTTCAACTTTCACTGAGGGATCCCCTGGCCAGAGTGCTGGGGTCTTTCAGCCACTTCTGTCCTAGGCTACCCATTTCTGTGCTCCAGTCCCTAGTTTAACAGCCTCACCTAAGCAGACTACACCCCATGGCTTCCACAGAAGCAGTCTACAGGAAAGAGTTGCCAGAAAATTGTTTTGATTTCTTCCTTCTCTGAACTTAATAGTTTTGCTGAGCATCTAATTCTGGCTTTGAAAATGTTGCTCCATTATTACTATGCAAAAAGAAGAAAGGAATGTAAATCATTTTGACCATTTGTAGAAGATCTGCTTTCTCCATCCTTTCTAAGTGTTTAGGATTCTCTTAATCCCTGAATTTGGTGTCTTGATGTGCACCTTCCTCTATCACACTGGACCCTGGGGAGGCCTTTCATTCGTACGGCTCATGTTTATGAGGTTATCTTAAATTATTTCTTCAGTTCCCCCATCACTACTGCTGTGTGCGTGTCTTTGTTTTTGGTTTCTTTTCCAGGTACTTCTGTTATTTGAGAATGGGGCCTGATCCTCTCAACACCCCTCCCCCCCTTAAACCATTTGTCTCTACCCAGATTTTCTGGAAGAATCCTGGAATCCTCAGCTTATATCTGCTGTTGAGTTCTGTGATGGATGCTTGAGCGAAGTGACTTAGATTCTGTTTTGGATTATGGTTTCAGACATTTCAGTTCCTGGTATGTAGGCTTTATTTCAGGGCTCTAGTACAGCAAAACGGTATCTCTCGGCATCCAGGAAGCAGAGAGACGGGCTGGGTCCCTGGGCAAGTTGTGCCCTTTAGAGGCCCATCCCCAGAGACCTGCTTCCTCCAGCTATGTGTACCAGCCCACTGAAGTATCCGCTCCGCCCTCAATGTGACACCCAGCTGAGTACTAGGCCTTTCACACATGAGTAACGTCTCCTTCCTGCACACCCTCTGTTGATGTCCCGTGATATCTATAGATATATTAGATAGCTATTAGACATCAGATGTTCTCCTTGAGCCCTGCCTTTTGCCTCATACCTAAAGGTGGACCTCATCTATTTATTCTGTTTGGTGTGTGCTGGGGACTGATTTCAGAGTTCCCTGGCCAGCTGCATCCTAGCCCTCTTTTTGATGTTGAGCTGCACCCTAGCCCTCTTTTTGCTTCCGTCTCTTAGTAAGTGATCAGGATGAGCTGTTTTCCAGGAAGCCTCTGAGGCTTTTCCCTTGTGCTGGTTGGAGGTGCAGGCAAGATTCTCCTCATTCCTGCCTGAAGGTTACATAGCCCTTGGTGCCTGGAGGGAGTCTCAGCATCCAGTTGGTTTACTGTGACCTAACTTCTCATCTTCTACCTGCTACCCATGTTGCTGGGACTGGAATCCAGGGCCTTGCTCTTTCACTAGTTACATCCCCAGTGTGAGGATTCAGGCATCATGCTGGCCTGCCCCTGTCACCTGGCAGAATGCACTCAGGCAGTACCCTGGTCCGCCCAGGTGCAAAGGACCCCTTTAAAAGAAAGACAACATCCCCCCACCCATGTATGCTCTCTTTCGTCTCTCTCTCTCTCTCTCTCTCTCTCTCTCTCTCTTTTTTTTTTTTTT